TTGCAAATGGGTCTTTAAAAGGAAGGAAGGAATTTCTCCAGCTGAGGACATCAAGTATAAAGCACGTGTTGTTGCAAGAGGGTTCACTCAAAGAGAAGGAGTAGACTACAATGAGATTTTCTCACCAGTGGTCAGACACACTTCTATCAGGGTGCTACTAGCAATGGTTGCACATCAGAACTTAGAACTTGAGCAGCTAGACGTGAAGACAGCTTTCCTACATGGAGAGTTAGATGAAGAGATTTATATGACTCAGCCAGATGGATTCCATGTTCCGGGAAAAGAAGATTATGTATGCAAGTGGAAGAAATCCTTGTATGGATTAAAGCAATCCCCAAGGCAGTGGTACAAAAGATTTGATGGCTACATGATTGAGTTCGGCTACAACAGAAGTCAGTATGATTGTTGTGTATATCACAACAAACTTGAAAATGGTTCGATGATCTACTTGATTCTATATGTAGATGATATGCTCATAGCTGCGAGGAACAAAGCTGATATACAGAAGTTGAAAAGTCTTCTCAGTGCAGAGTTTGAGATGAAAGACTTGGGTGCAGCACAGAAAATTCTGGAAATGGAGATTTTCAGGGATAGAAGTTAGAAGAAACTTTTCTTATCACAGAAGAGCTATATTGAGAAGGTACTATCCAGATTTGGCATGTCTACAGCAAAGTCCTTGAATACTCCGAGTGCAGCGAATGCTCAACTATCAGTTACACTCGTACCACAGTCAGAAGCCGAGATAGAGTATATGGCTAAGATTCCCTATTCTAGTGCAGTGGGCAGCTTGATGTATGCCATGGTCTGCACTAGACCTGATCTGGCACATGCAGTCGGTGTTGTTAGCAGATTTATGGCTAATCCTGGGAAGGAGCACTGGCTGGCCGTGAAGCGAATTTTTCGGTACTTGAGGGGTACATCTGATGTTGGTCTCATCTATGGAGGTGATACAGAGTGTTTGGTTACAGGCTATTCAGATTCTGATTATGCTGGAGATGTTGATGGTAGGAGGTCGATGACTGGTTATGTTTTCACTCTTGGACATTCTGTAGTTAGTTGGAAAGCAACTCTACAACCTACAATGACTCTGTCTACTACTGAAGCAGAGTATATGGCACTAACGAAGGCTGCTAAAGAGGGAATTTGGTTAAAAGGACTAGTTGGAGATCTTGGCCTACATCAGGATCAGGCTAATATATATTGTGATAGTCTCAGTGCAATATGTCTAGTCAAGGATCAAGTCCATCACGAGAGGACTAAACACATTGATGTCTGATATCATTTCCTAAGATCTGAGACAAGGATCAAGGTGAAGAAAATTGGCACAGCTGACAATCCTGCTGATATGTTCACCAAGTCGGTTCCTCATAGTAAGTTCAAACATTGTTTGGACTTACTAAATGTCCTGAGTTTCTGATGGCCCTTATGGGCATTCTGATGGTACTTAGAGATAATTCTCTGAGTATATCTGGCACTCCATTAGTGCGTCTGTTACATCTTTTTCGGGGAAGATTCAAGTCAAGGTGGAGATTTGTTGAGATGCCTTGAATTAGATCTTCGACATTCGCTGAGCTGTTTGGATAAAATCTGATTTCCCCCAAATTGTTCTTGTCTGTTCTTGTTTGTTTTTCTGTTCCGCTGCTTCTGTTATAACAGTTGTGTTCTTCTCTTCTTCTGTGATTCGCTTTTTGTACATTGCGTACCTATGAGAAAATCTTTTATTGTGTTTTATGAGCCCAGAGTCTTTTTTGGAATTTTTTCTTAATTAGCAGTTCATATTTACAGTTTAAAGCAAGATTAAAGAAACTTAAACGTAAGGGGTGCTATCTTACCAATACAAAGCACAGCATGATTATGCTGTCCTAATTCAGATTGCAATGTTCTGGGGAAAGTTGTATGGCTGGGTGATCTTTGTTATTCTATTTGGACTCTAAATGTTGACATGATATCTCTGCGAGCTCTAGCATTAACCTGAAGAACTGTGTTCTCTTCGTATTCGATTTAGCCATCTATATGTGGCCATCTTATTCTTGTTAAAGTTACTCTTATTAAAGTTAGTTATGTAGGTTATTTGTTCCATTTTGCTTAAGAAAAAAGTTCCATTTTGCATTTTTGTATTGTTCTGTTGATGCTCTTTAATTCATATGCAATTCCGACAACGTTGCAATTTTCTAGAGCTACTTGGGATTGTATTCCACTTATTCTGCTTTCTTTTCCTCAATACATCTCATAGATGGTTGGATTGACGGATTCATTTAGTTAATAGATCCTTGAACTATAAAACTCTTCTTTTCTTTTGTAAAACTCAATTGACGATTTCATCTCTTCCTTAGTTGATTCACTTCACGATAATTTAGATGTTCAAACCATTCAAGAACTTGGTTATTTTGTTCAAGATAAACTGTCCATTATGTGAGGGGTTACTTTGTGTCTGTGACTATTGCATTAACAATTTCAGGTTTTGAAGTATTCTAGGTTTATTAATCGCGAATACCAACCAAACTGTTGCTGTATTTTTGGCTGTTTTGTTATTTTTTATCTTAATAGTTTTGGTTTAGCAATCAATTTCTCGAGCTTTTTCAAATTTTTGATGTCATTTATTTGTTTGTTCTTTGTAGGTTGCTCAAGGTGAGCAGGCTGGTGGAGAATCAATCCCGGTGCTCTTGAGAATTCCTCGATTTTTTTATCCTTGGGGTGGTTATAACATGATTGGCTTTGGGGACATACACTTCCCCGGTTTGCTTGTTTCCTTTGCACATAGGTAGCTTTTTGTTTTCATACAATCTTATGAATAGTAGTATGTTGTGATGCCTTTCCAGTATGCCGCATTGGCGTTTTCATTTGGCTAATATTTTCTAGAGAATGTCAAATTTTATTTAACTTTGCAACGTTTCTCAACCCGTACCTGTTCTCGAATCCTTACATAACTTGCTGTTTAAGAAGACATGTATAACCAAGTAGTATTGATTAGGCTTTGTATGCTTGTTACATTTTTCTCATTGTAAAAAGTTTTTATTTCTTCTCATTCCTTTGTTGCAGCAACGTAGTTATTTTATAGAGTGGTAAGTTCTTTTGTTTATTTGGTAAGTAGTGTGTGTGATTTTTTGCTGCAGATTTGCTAAAGCCAAAAAGAAGACTGGTCGAAATGGATACTTCCTTTGGTTGGCCATTGGCTATGCATGTGGTTAGTAGCATTGACTTTTGTTTCCTTCACTATATGATCTTTGTAAAACAACTACATTTAATGCAACATGGATATTCTTCTCTTTCCTTGCCAAAAAAAAAAAAAAGAACTCCCTTCATTTATTCTTGGCAAGCCTATTCTAAGACAAATTACAAGCAAGGGAAGAGAATTTTTTGCAGGGTTTTGGATGTCTTGTAGTGAATGTGCTTGCAAAGATCAGTTGAGTGTTGCAAGGAAGAGAAACTTTGATTAGTCTACAGCCAAGCAACTTGAGTCAACAGAGAGAGAGAGAGATGATTAATTGACAACAGAGCAAAATGATTCAGCACAGAGAGAGAGAGAGAGAGAGAGAGAGAGAGAGAGAGAGAGAGAGAGAGAGAGCGGGAGAGAGATGCGAGCAATGGCTCTTAAGAAGACAGGGCTATCATGTTACAATATACAACATATTTTAGGTAAAGTTAAGATGTAGTCTTTCAAGTCCAAGGAGGAAACATCTTTATATGGATGTGTGCTATAAAGCTGAACTTCTAGTACGTGAATCAGCTGGAAGATCTTTAGACCAATTAGAGTACTAAAAATTAGTAAGTGGAGCGGAACTCCAAAAGAGAGTGGTCAAATCCCTCAAAATGAGCGTAGAGCTAATAAAGTTTTTTTATGAACTTATCTGTGGTTCCTTCACTGAAGGAACGGATACTTTATAGTGATTTATTTCCCATAACTTGTGTTCTGCCCTTTTATCGGTTTTACAAATTCCGGTTATGTTTATTCTTGTCCAGTTAGACTTGGATTTATAAGAAACTGTATCAGATACTGTTCTCAATTTCTTGTTTAAGATAGTGATGTATTATTGCAGGCTTGTTCTTTACTTACTTAGGCTTGTATCTAATGGATGGACATGGTCAACCTGCTCTCCTGTACCTTGTTCCTTGCACATTAGGTATGAATTTCTGCTATCCCCGTGCTATCTGTTTTTATTGTATTTGTGAACCTCACTTACCTCTAATTCTTTGCCCTTCACTGGATTTCTTATAACACAGGACTTTGTGTTATATTGGGTTTGGTGAGAGGTGAGTTGAGAGAACTTTGGAGCTATGATGTTGATTCAACGAACACTGATTCAACTCGACCACCTTTACCTTCTGGAATCCGCGTATTATGGTGGGTATAAAATTCTTCTGGCCTGGAAAATGAAGATTAGTTTTTTTTAACCTGTTAATTACCGTTTTGGAGTTTTAATTATTATAGTAAAGTCTTTCTGAACTGTTCTAATTCTTCAGTGCAAATTTATGTGATACAATCATGAGAGACACAGCTAGTATAGATGAAGGGCGTGGAAGCAGTTTAAGCTTTTATTGGAAACACTTCTTTCATCAATACGGCAAAAATTTATTCACAGTTTTCTTGTTTTTGAGTAAATCTTGTATACATTGATAGTGTATCTATTATCACGGCTGAATGCATAACATATATGTAAAATTTAGATTATATGTCATGCATCAAATAGTGAAAATATATACACTATCAGTGTGTAAAAGATTAATTCTAAAAGTTTAGGACAGTCTTCATTTTCAGCAAATTTAATATTAGCCTTTACATGAATCGACAAGGAGGTAGTGCGAGCAGGATTTTCTGGTTTACAAGTGCTATGATGTCGATTCAACGAGCTATGATGGTGACTGCGATATTTAAAAGTTAAACTTGGTTGTTAACGTTTCCTGTGTTGAGGAGTTGATGCTTGAAAGGTTGCATTGATTTTGATGTGTACTATGCCGGTTGAGAGGCCAAAGGTTGATCAAATGAAAGGAGCCCAAGAAAGAAGATAATCCTTCATAAGAAATTAATTCAAAGAATCAGATTGCTCTAATAAGCTTTATTTCAGATAAAATTGGAGGAGGGATTAAATCATATCCAATTTCCCCAACAGCCAAAGGTGAACTTCATTGGTAGGAGTAGGACAACTTCAGCCCAATAAAACATAATCCTTCAACAAGAATTGATTAAGATGCTGTAAGAACTTTTCTCTTGGACAAAACTGCAGAGATGAAATCATCTATAGCTTGCAAAGAAGACCCTTTGTGTCCTTCATCTTCCCTTACAGCAGCGCTTATCAACCCTCTTATCTCAGCTGCCTTTCTTTTCATTTCCTCTCCTTTGCCTCCTTTCTCCATCACAGTATTTATTACCCTCTCCACATCCTCCTTCTCTAGATGACTCTGTAATCCCCTAGTTAACTCAATACCAACTCCCATTTCCTCCATTATCAACTTTGAGTTGTACCCTTGTTCAGCTGCAAGTGGCCAACCAATCATGGGAACACCTTGACTCAAACTCTCCATGATTGAATTCCATCCACAATGGCTCAAAAATGCTGCTGTTGACTTGTGACGAAGAATCTCCAATTGGGGTGCCCATTTATGCACTAACAATCCTTGATTTGTTTGTGCCATTCTTTCCTCAAAACCTTCTGGTAACCACTCAGCCTTGAATTCACCTTTAGGATCAAAGCCAAAAGGAGACCTAATAGCCCAAATGAATGGTTTCCCAGAGTGCTCTAACCCCATAGCTAATGCCATCATCTGAGGAGGACTTATAGTGTTCTGGGAACCAAAAGAGATGTAAAGAACAGAACTCTCGGGATGTGAGTCCAGCCACTCCAGGCATTTCTCTGTAGGCAATCCTGGTTCTCTCCCGCTGGGCTGACTGATGATTTTGGATTCTGAAGAAGAATCTTGTTCAAGCATTTGTGGTGGAAGAAGAGGTCCAATGCACCAAACTGGGAGTTTTATGTATTTCCTGAGCACATCCAAGCCAAAAGGCTCAATTTCCTCCACTGTATTGCATAACCATCCAAGAGATCCCAAAGATTTTGATATCTGTGGCTGAAAAAACTTTGACCACTCATCAGTACCATCTGCAGCTTGCAGATATCTATGCAGATGGGTGATATGGAACCGGCATGAATCAGGAAAACCAGGAAGACTGAACTCATCTTTGCCGGAGGATCGATGAGGGAGGTTCTGCCATAATGAAACATAGGCAGCAGTGCCATAGGCACCACCTGTGGTGAAAGTTACATTTATAGTTTCAAAATCCTTTGCTACAGCAGTAGCCCACCCTACAAAAATATCAGAAACTATGCACAACGGAGGACGTCCCTCCTTTTCGATGACTTTTGCGATGAGACGGCGAAAGGGGTCTTCAAGATTAGCTGCAGCCTGAAAGAGTTTGATGATAAGGTCCAAGGACAAGGCCCCAGTGTTCTCAGTATTTGGTGGCAAGCCATGTTCAACACTGTTGAAATGAAGAGATTCTAAGTTGATTTGGGATTCTTGGGATGAATCCTTTGATATGGTATTCTCGAGGTACTTGACATTAAGAGGGGTGCTAACCAGGGTGATGGCGAAGCCAGTTCTTTGTTGAATTTTCTTGGCTAAATCTAAGAAAGGGATTAGATGGCCATGAGCCATGAATGGTATCATCACCATATACTCCTTCAAGCCAGTCATCTTCCCTGGATTTTCAGGACTGGCAAATTTGATGTGATTTAGATTTTAGGAGCTGGGAGTGCTGGGGTGCGAAAAGGCGAAAAGCAAGGAAGAATATTTGTAAAGCTCAAACAGCGCAGTGAAGAATTGTGTAGGTTATCTACCAGAAAGATGGACCAGACATCCAGAAAGAAAGAAACGGCGAAGATATAAATGAACCAATCAATAAAGCGACAAACCATAAAGGCCAACCTTATGGTTGCAAGACTTTATTCTAAAATAGGATTAATCACATTTTATCCCCTTAAAGAATACCTCATTTTTCAGTTTACCCCATAACCTTTAATTTTGCTCACTTAACCCCCTTTAGGACAAAATTGCCCTTACATTATTTTGATTTTTCATTTACCCTGTTTTCCTTTCTTTTATTTCTTTTTCTCTTTCTTCTTTATTTAATTCTTCCTCTTTCCCACAAAAATTTTTACCTTAATGATTGAAATTAAAAAAGAGAAATTGCAGAGATCTATCTTCTCCTTAAATGATTAAAAAAAATATTCAAAACACTTTTCTAAAATACAATTTTTTTAGCTTTTCAATTCTTTTAATTTTGGATTTTCCTCTTTCCTTTCTAGTTTCTCATTTTATTCCCAAGAAAATATCTTAAGATGAAATTGTGACCTGATTAATAATCATCAATTGAAATTTGTGATACGTGGCATCATACAAAAAATCAAAATTAGTTTTTGATACCTTTTAAACCTTCACCCAGAAATATGCAATTACAAACTCAAAACAAAATTTTCGTTGAAATGAAATTTCTATTGGGAAGGATGAAAGAGAGAAGAAAGAGAAAAAGAAATAAAAGAAAGGAAAATAATTTCATCTTATGACATTTTCTTGAAAATAAAATGAGAAATTAGAAAGGAAAGAGGAAAATCAAAAATTAAAAGAATTGAAAGGCTAAAAAAAATTGTATTTTAGGAAAGTGATTTGAATATTTTTTTAATCATTTAAGGAGAAGATAGATCTCTGCAATTCCTCCTTTTTTATTTCAATCATTAAGGTGAAAATTTTTATGGGAAAGAGAAAGAATTAAATAAAGAAGAAAGAGAAAAAGAAATAAAAGAAAGGAAAATAAGGTAAATGAAAAGTCAAAATAATGCAAGGGTAATTTTGTCCTAAAGGGGGTTAAGTGAGCAAAATTAAAGGTTAAGGGGTAAACTGAGAAATAGGGTATTCTTTAAGGGGATAAAATGTGATTAACCCTCTAAAATATTAGGATGGAAGATGGTTTTGGTTTCACTCTTAAATTTCTTTATACAAGAAATTCTTTATTGAGGGTTCATTTTCTTCTTGTTTCCAAAAGCTCTTTCAATGTGTTTTTTAACCTTTTTTTTCCTGTAGTTGCAGCCAATGATTTTTTGCCCCTAGCATTGGAAATAAGAAGGATTTGACTAAGTAGGTAGAACCATGCTTCATGATTTTCACTTTTTTTTTTTGGGCGGTAAAGAAGTGACAAAAAGTAGATATCAATTTAGTACTAAAAAATGCAAATTCCAGAGGGAAAAAAAAAGTGGAAATTCTCGAGGCCAAAAAAGTGAAAATTCCGGCGGCAGAACCCGAAAAGTAAGGATGAAAGTCACTTTGATGCCCACCTAATCTGCTTGTCGATTCGCTTGACTGTAGTAGCCAAATTGATGTTTGCTTCAATAAATTTGCTTACAAAAAAAAAAAGATATTTTTAACGATTTATTCTAAGAAGGAAATATCTATTACAGAACGTCATCTTACAGCAGCGTGGCTGGTTTGCTAGAATTTCTTTTCGGCAATTCGAAAGTCTCTTTTGTACGGGGTTTTGATAGTGATTATCAATTTCAAATGTTTTCTCACAAGGTACATTTTTCCCATTGTTTAAAAAAAAAAAGAGCTAAAGATCAACAATTGAGAAAGTATTTAGAATGTCACCAAGAAACCTTTTCTATATAGCCAAAAGCAATTAGCAGGGCACACACATAAAAGTGGTAAGAGATGGAAATTTCTCATTAAAGGGCATGTATTCAAATTCTGTTACTGATGCGAAAATTAAAAGCTGTATTAACGGAGGATATTTAAGAATCCTTATGTTATGGTTTCGAGAAGTATGCATTGATTTGTGATGATGATCAGAATCAAATTCATTCAAAATTTTTTCTACTTAAAAAAAAAGGATAATTTCAGAAACCTTCCCTGTGATTTTTGATAATTTCACTGACCTTTCTGATATTTGAAAAATTACACAAACCTCTCTTGGCAAAATAAGGGGCTCATTTACTGACATCCCCTAGTATGAAATTACTTGTTTACCCCAACACATTATCCAAGATTAGAAACTAAAATTTGAGAATTAAGTAATTATAGCACAAATCCACTAATTAATGGAATTATCTGTTAATAGCATGAACTGTAATGTGAAAAATACAAAATGGTGCGATTTTGTTACACCGATTAGCTTCATTTTGTGATTAACAGAACTTGACATGACCACATTTCAATCGTATATAAGAAAGGCTCGGGTAAAATAAAGGAAATACAGAGGAAAGAAATAGAAAAACAAGTTTTTTCTTGAGGGTTTTTCCCCTTGATTTAGAAACTAAAGAAATGGCCTTTGCATTAGAGTAATTTCGTGGTAGTGGCTAAGAAAGAAGGTAGAAAAAAAAATGCAAATTTGGACGTTCTTTCTATGCAAAATCACAAAAGGCATACCCTAAATCAGGTAAATAATATCTATTGTTCTCAGTTTAATGTTTAAAAGTTACAATTTTAGTTGAAAATTATGAAATTTTTCGAAACAATCATGACTGCAATACATCTTGATCGATAATTATTTGTAATTGATAATTATTTTTGCTAATACACCACGACCGGAATGCATAAGGGGCATTTGAGGAACAAAATTTTCATCTCTCTTGGAAGTAATTTTTTAATCATATTTTTTTAGAAATGAACTGATTTTGTTGCCAAATCATAAATCTCAAGAGAGATTAGTATAATTTTTCAAATATTAAAAGAGGTCAGGAAAATTGTCAGAAACCTCACCTTAACCAAAAAAAAAAAAAAAAGGTAGTACGACATCGAACCGGAGGCGTTTCACACACTGTTCTCAAGTGTCAACGGGCTGCTGGTACCGGCGTCTATCATAGCTCGATTTCAGATGGTAGGAGATACCTAGCTGTCCAAGGGTCCTTTCCTTCGGGGATATCCGACAAAATTGGACCGATACAGATAAGATTACCATGGCTCCGCGTAAGAAACGCGCACAAAAGTGTCCAAGGCTCCAAGTACAGTCTAGTCCACTCATAATCATTTTTTTTTCATTTTTCGATAACAAGAATTTCAAAAAAAAATTTCAAATTTTGTTTTGCTTGCATTATACACATAATTTTCAACCATCTTTTTATTTTACATACATTATATCACAAAAAATGCTACAGTAATTATCTCAAATAAATGTTTCAAATAACCTCTTATCCATACACAAAATAAATGTTAGATAATTGTATACCACTAAAGCAAGCACTTTCACTTATGCAATTACAATCATATAATCTCACCTGAAACCTCATCAAAACCAGTGAAAAGTACCTCTAAAACTGTGTATACTTTCTTGTATACTCTTTTCTTAGTTCATCCTACGAGAAACACATTATTAAAATGTTAAACTTATAATAATAAGCGAGGCTAAGAAGGTTTTTTTTTTTTTTTTTGGCTTTTTCTCTAGGGTTAAATGCAAAATGCACCCTTGAATTGTGCTTAATTTGCGACTTGTCCCCTAAACTATCAATTGCATAGACTTGCACTTTATACTACTGATTTCGTTGTAGATTGCTTAAAATAAGGTGATGTGACAAATTTATCCTAATTAAATGACCAATTAACTAAATTGCCCCCATCTCTCCTCCTTCTTTCTTTTCTAAAATCAGTGGCAATCCCCCCCTTCTTCTCCTTCTCTAAACTATACTATCAAGTTATTATTCATTCCATTTCTCATATCAAACTCTCTAAGATGGATCGCTTTTCACGTTTCCCACTCAAATCTCCCTCTTCAAGTACTTAACTTCATAAACCTATCATCACCTCCCTCTCTTGAGTGCCTTCTCTTTGAATCTTCATCGTTTCTCAAGTTTCAAAATTACAACCCATTTCAAATTTACCAACCCTCATTGGTACTAGCCAATTTCCCAGCACTTTTTAAATCAAGAGCTGAGATCCCATCGTTTCCTATCCTTCTAATTTCTATAATTGTTTATGCTATTGTGTGTTTTTATTTCTGCTTGCTACATATTGAAGTTTGATTAAATGTGTGATTGGTTCTACATATGACAAGATTGTGATATGGGTTTTGCTATTTGAAGATTTGGTGTGGATTTATGAGGTGTATCTTCAATTTTTTTTGCATAGATTAATGATGGGTTTTTAGCCTTGATATAAAACTTTGATTTTGATCTAGTTTTATATAGTCTAGTCTTAATTTTTCTTCTTCTATTGTGGTGGTTCAATGGTAGGTATTTTAGTGTAGTGGTAATAGCAAGAGATGTAAGATTGTTTACGGTTGAAATAAAAAGAACAAAAAATTAAGATAAAATAAATTAAAGAAATGGATATTCTAGGCAACACATTATTTATGGAGTTATTGTTGTCCTTTCAATAAATAATTACTTGTCACATTAATTTAACTGCAGCAAAGTGCTGAAATTCATAGTATAAGACAATAAATCGCTATAATTGATAGTATAGTGGGCAAATTGCAAACTGAGTATAGTTCGAGGGTGCATTTTGTATTGAACACTTTTCTATGTTTTATCTCATTATGACATGTGACTTTTCCTTTTTTGTTTCTTTTTGGCTTGGGGAGATGCGCAGCTAACGAGGTTTTTTTTTTTTTTTTTTGGAATTTTATTCTTTATTAATAAAGGCTCGAGGCTTTCACCAGGCCCATCTTTGTTGCAAGAGTTAGGTTGCTATAATAACTTGGGCTGTCTTTTCATCACAAAATACTTAGAGGTAGACTGGATGTATGAGAATATTCTAGAGTCATTTCTTTGATCTATGTATGAGAATATTCGTTTGGATTGTATTTTTTGGGGAGTTTTTTGGAAAAAAAAATGACTCCAGAATTTTTTTGTAAAATATAATATATGTGAGATAAAAAGATGATTGAAAAATATGAAAATGAATATTCTCATACAAACCTAAAAAA